TCAATAGAGAAATGAAACCCTAATCTCAGTAAAGATCTTGACGTCAATGTAAAAGAGGGCTTTACTTTGGCCAGGACTGCAGTGAATAGAAAAATGAAATTCTCAAAACACCCCCCCCCCCCCTTTTTTTTTTTTTTTTTTTATGATGCCAGATAAAAAAAAAAGCCTGTAATAATGATATATATTATATTTGGCACCTAGAGGGTAAAATCTGTTCTCTCCTAATGCACAGCCATCCTTCTCTTTATTACTTTTCAGCCACAACCCAAACAATTCGCAGGTTCCACCGTGCGATTTAAGGGGCAAAACCCCACCAGCTCTCCCAGGCCCCACACCCGTTACAGCCCCCAGGACAGTGTTCCCATTAACCTCCCCCACGGACACCCCCCCGTGAGCCCCCAGACACAATAACCCGCACAGAGAGGACAGGCAGCAGCCCCACATCCAGCGCTGGGATGGCAGGGTGTCGCCTCCCTCCCCCTTCCTCTTATTTAATTTTAATTTTTTTTAAATATGAAAATACATATGAATATTCCACGTGTGCAGGGAGGTTAGTCTGGGCTGGGAGGTGCAGCCCTTTAGGTGTGTGTAAGGTTTTGGATGTGTCTCCCCGGGTGGCGATGCTCTCCTGGGCACAGCATCCCAGAATCACAGAATCTTCTAGGTTGGAAGGGACCTTAAAGATCACCTAGTCCAACCATCAACCCAACTCTGATTAAAAAACAAACAAAACAAAAAGCCACACAACCCACAACTGGTTTAAGCCAATTGCTAAAAGCGCCGGGTTGTTCTTCCGTGGAACTTCAGATTCATTGTTTTCTTCATTAACCTTGGCCTTTTCTACATTTAGTACCATAACGGGGGGTGGGGTTTTAAAAAGGAAAAGTAACCTTTGGAGTGAGCTCCTGCATTTTCACTCCCACCCAAGCGTTTGCCATCAGGGCACCTGGGAGCTTGCCCCAGGGCAGGAAGGGATTGCCTTTGCCACTATTTCCTCTCTGGAGAGGATTTAATGTTTCTTTGCCAAAAATTAAGGATAGTAAGTCCCCACGTATGGTTTCTGAAGCCCTTTCAGCAAGTTTGGGGCACACTCTGTCCTGCCCATGTGTGTATCAGCAGCAGAAAGGCGAAGGGGGGGACGGAGGGGACACCAGGGCAGTTAGTCTGGGCTGGGAGGTGCAGCCCTTTAGATGTGTGTAAGGTTTTGGATGTGTCTCCCCGGGTCGCGATGCTCTCCTGGGCGCAGCATCCCAGAATCACAGAATCACATAATCTTCTAGGTTGGAAGGGACCTTAGGCGATGCTCTCCTGGGCACAGCATCCCAGAATCACAGAATCTTCTAGGTTGGAAGGGACCTTAAAGATCACCTAGTCCAACCATCAACCCAACTCTGATTAAAAAACAAACAAAACAAAAAGCCACACAACCCACAACTGGTTTAAGCCAATTGCTAAAAGCGCCGGGTTGTTCTTCCGTGGAACTTCAGATTCATTCCCACAATTGGTTTAAGCCAATTGCTAAAAGCGCCAGGTTGTTCTTCCGTGGAACTTCAGATTCATTGTTTTCTTCATTAACCTTGGCCTTTTTACATTTAGTACCATAACGGGGGGCGGGGGTTTTAAAAAGATAAAGTAAACTTTGGAGTGAGCTCCTGCATTTTCACTCCCACCCAAGCGTTTGCCATCAGGGCACCTGGGAGCTTGCCCCAGGGCAGGAAGGGATTGCCTTTGCCACTATTTCCTCTCTGGAGAGGATTTAATGTTTCTTTGCCAAAAATTAAGGATAGTAAGTCCCCACGTATGGTTTCTGAAGCCCTTTCAGCAAGTTTGGGGCACACTCTGTCCTGCCCCTGTGTGTATCAGCAGCAGAAAGGCGAAGGGGGGGACGGAGGGGACACCTCCCCACGAGAGGCTCTCGGAGCCTTGGGGTCGAGTGGCTTCTCCAGGGCCAGGCTCCGGGAGCCGTTGGGCTCTCAGTGAGCTGGGAACGGGCTGTTGATGGTCTGAGAGGCCAGTCAGAGCCAAACCAGACAACCTGCTCGAGACAGGCTCTGGAGGAGCAGTTCTGGGACATTTGCATCAGCAGACACAGCCCCATGCTTTGGTGGGGGAGCAGCAATTCCCAGTGGGGGAGCAGGAATTCCACCCGCCCTCCTCCAGGTATCCCTGGAAAAGCAAACCACTCTCATCCTGCTCTCCTACTCAAGCATCTCCTAGGTCTGTTGGCGTTGTTTTTCTCATATTAATTTAATTGCAAGGCTTCCAAGGAGATGCTGGGCACCGGGTTTCGGGCTCCATTGTTGGGAGGACACTGTCCCCCCCAGGACCCACCGCCCTCTCCTGGGGCTGGGACATCCCTAGGCCAGGGGAGGGGAGCAGGAGAGCTCCCTGAGCTCTCAACCCGTGAGATGGACCTCAAAGAAAAGCCTCAGACCAATGCTCAGCTCAGACAGTGAAACCGGGGTGCAACCAGTGTGCACTGGGGTCCCAGCCCCCAGCTTCTTCTTTAATAGGGCTCCCGTTTCAATTGAAACAAACCTGAAAGCTCCACGATGTTTTTCCAACCCAGGAGAAAGTTCCTCCCCAAGGCCTTGGGCCGTGACAGGGTCTTTCACAGCTTTGTACAGATGCAGCAGAGCAGAAAGGTCTGGAGCTGGGTTTCCTTCCCCTGCTGACGAGACTCGGGGTGGGAAAGACACCTGAGTCTTCCCAGTACATTCATTTTTGTCAGGGGAGCTCCGATGAGTGTCTCGGTCTGTGTTCCAGTGCCTTAAGCACCTTTTCGCAAAAGGCCACGACGTGAGCGAGTGCGTTTCAAAAATTAATCTCCCCAAGTTAATCACCCTGGGTACCTCAGCCGAGCCCAGCGGAGAGGGGCTGTGAGAGGTGTTTCTCGCCAGAAGATTTCAGATCAGGCACTTACCTAGTTCTGCTGGAAAAAAAACCCCCTCATCTAAGGGCTTTGACCTTCTATTTGAATGCAGAATTAGCACTCCGGGAAAGGTTAATGAACAGAAGATGGGAGTAGAGAGTTTTTGACTGAAATACTTCTGAAATGGGCTGGGACACGTGCCGAGAGCTGGCAGCTGTGTTCTGCCTGGGGTCTGGGGGGGTCCTCTGCTGAGACCCCTGAGGAGAGCTCAGGATGGTCCTTTGGGCGAGCAAAGCGCGTTCATCTTTCAGACAAACCCTGATCTTGAAATACAGTATTTTTTTAAATTTGCTTCCTCAACAAGTTGCTGCTTGTGC